TAGACATTTTAAGCTTGTAAAAGACAATCAATGCGCTCAATAATCTGATCATAATCTGATTTCTGCAGTTATCTGATTATTCAAATGGTCATGTGAACAGCACACTCCCATTTCTAAGATCAGAGTAAGGTCTAGAAATCCGATTGAGAAATCCAATAAAGAGCTGAATTTTAGCTCAGTAATCAGATTTATCTTCTCTGATTTCTTTCAGATTTCTCAGTCTGAGCATGTGCAAAAACAGACAGCGGTACCGGAAAAAAGTGATATTCATATTTTCAGGTAAAGTGATGAGATGTTTGGAAATAAAGCTGTGGCATGAAGTTAGAGTTTCACATTACATTTACATCACATCTTTTTCTTTTTGTTGGCCGGTTGTAAAGCAGAAATCCAATTACTGCCCGACTCATGTAGACCTGGAGTTTCCCCATTATCTGATTACCCAAGAGCATGAAAACACACTGAACCAGTTACTGACACAATCTGATTTTCTGCAGTTATCAGATTATCAAGTGCATGTAAACACACTCACTGATATATTTTACCAAGTGTGAATCAGTAACTCTTTCTTCAGAGCTGCTGCTGCTGTTTTCCATTCCTAACAACTAAACCAAACCAGCTTAGACGTGTAGTCATAGTCAGTGACATAACCAGAACTTCTATAGAAGAAAATTCCATGCAAAATTGGTCCAGTTTCACTTCCTAATTATGTAGGTAGTTAATCTAACGAGTAAGGCCTTCAGTTCAGCTCCTGAAGTCCTAACCAATGGCAGAGCCTCCTTGGCTGTATCTACCTAGATGCCACAGAGAAAACAATCCTGATTGGATACTTTTCTGTATGGGGATTTTAAGATTTTGACTTTCCAGTCGCATTTTAACAAAGAAATAAATTACTACTACAATATCTTTGGGGTTTGAAAACAGCAAACATGATGATTATATTAAATAAAAAATAGAAACATGTATGGTTTTAGCTACTAAGGCCCTGAGGGGAGTGAGAGAGAAGGAATATGAGTGAGAATTTGGATATTATATCGTTCAGGAATATTACTTCAGTGTCTATAAGTATCTTCTCAGTGAATATCTAAGTAAGACATGAGATTGAAGTCTTGCTATTACCAGGACAACCAGAGAAATGACTGTAAGGCAACTGTTTAATATTATGGCTGCAAACAGAATAATAAAAAAGTGTTTTGGTAACAGTAGGCGGTGTCTATTCCTCACATTGTTTTACAACAGCAACTTTTGAGATGTTTAACAAAGGCTTAGCATGTGTTCTGGCTTAGCAGTAACGTCTGAGATGTCAGGATGGCACCCAAAAAATTAGAAAGACACATTTCTTCTTACGTAACAGGTTGATTGTGTTTGTTTCGCAAGGAGGCGGCTCTACTCCAGCGTCTTTTATTCAGACAGGAACCGGCGGGCTGTTATTAGCCCTCTGCCGGGTAGACGGTGTCTGTAATATCTTTATTTTCTCTCTGAAGAGCTGAACAAAGAAATAACAATGATGGAATGTCCAGCCAGAGCCGAGTGCCAAGTAAAACTGCAGCAGATGTCTGAGGAGGAATCTCACTTATTCTTCCAGGCTCTTGGGAATTTCACCGAAATGAAGGAGTCACTGGAGCAGAGACGGAGAAGCTCAGCAGAGAGCCGGACCATGTGGTGAAAGCTTTTGTCTGAAACTGACCAGCCCTCTTGGGCGATGCCTTTGGGCTGAGAGCATCTTAAAAGCTGTTGTTCTCTGAGAGTTCTAGGTAACTTAAGTGAAAGTGCAGGAGCGTAGTTGGACAGCAACAAGAGAGCAAACCACACAGTCGCTCTCTAGAATGAAGCCAGCTAGAACACCAGACTAAACAATATGAACTGCATATCAACACAGTGTCACTAAATATTTCTCATTTTTTAAAATGCTTTTGCTGTTTAACAGTCCCTGCACAAACAAGCTGCCACAAAAGTGTTCTTTGAGCAATAATGGTTCCTTAAAGAACCATATTTGAACAAGATATTGAAGAGTGTGAAGAATTTTCCAAGTTTAAGGAATGTTGCCATAATATGGTGGTTCTACACCATTTTGAGGGTTCCTCCGAGAACTTTTAGATTATGTGGATTATCCCATTCGCAAGAATGGTTCTCTCAAGAACTACATGGTTAAATGTGTGTTTTTTTTTAGGATGGGCAAACTGCTGTAAGTGTTTCTCAAAGAACTATGTTTGAAAAAGAGATTTGTAAGTGTGAAGAACCTTCAAAAGGTTTAGAGCACCCTCACATAATATAAAGGTTTTATACTGGATAAAGCGTTCTTGCTAGAACCTTAACACACACTTAAAAAGAGGTTCTTGGAGGACTCTTTCGTAAAGGTAGTGCTTCTATTTGAATGGTTCTCTGAAGAACCATCCATTGGTTTCAGCTGAAAGTGGTTCTTCAAGCATTCTTTAGGCAGTGGTTATACAGAACAATCGAAGCATCTGAATGCATAAATCTTATCTGTAATGGGAAACCTGGTGAAAATATTTCTCAAAGAACAATGTTTGAAAAGAAGATCAGTGAGTGTGAAGAACCTTTTAAGGGTTTAGGAAACCTTTACATAATGTAAAGATTTAATACCAAATTAAGGGTTCTTGCTAGAACCTTTGCACACCCTTAAAAAGTGGTTCTTGGAGGATTCTTCAGTAAAGGCAGTGCACATTTTAGTGCATAATTGGTTCTTTGTGGGGTTAAAAGTTTGTTCTCCACACAATCTTGATGTATATGGTTCTGAAAAATAAGATGGTTCTACCCAGAACCATGAAGGTAATATTTAGAAGCTGTCTTTGTGCAAAGAACCCTTTTCGGGAAGTTTAAGAGTGTACTCCTTGCACAAACAACTCTCTTAGCATGAGTGCAGCGTTTTATCCACCTACAATTTCAGTAAGTTTTTAAATTCAGGGGTGAACAGTGAGTAGACACCAGCTACAAAACGAACCACAAGATGAACTTTATGCTCTTCGCGCTCCTGCTAAACCTGCCAAAGCTGGGCTGGGAATAGTAGGAGGAGCTAAACCAAACATGCCTTAGCTCATGCCGTCCCATACTGTTTCTCCAAACATTGGGTCATCCCTAGTGAGGCAGACTGAGAGGTCAGGGGACGAGGCTACAGCTTCGAAATAGTGCCTCGGCGTCGCTGCACCAATGTTATCCTTCCATTACTTAAAGCTCAGCTCTGAACCGCCCGGCTCCCGTCTCTCTCTCTGGTCTCTCTGAACAGCTTTAACTCACTCTCGGGAAACTTCTGAAAGCTCTTGCTCTCCTGCTGATGTCTAGAAATGCTCGATTGCCTTTGCACTATGAAGAAAAATATTTTAGATATAAAATGGGCTTTATGGTTATTATTCGCTTAGAAGACTGGTCCCACCTATATTTACATATTGTCTTATTAGTTTGTAAGATATTTAGTATAGATATAAGATATTACTGCTTAAAAATTATACTAAGTGTTGTTTACCCCATTTTGCAGCATACAATTATATTCCTGAAATAATTCGACATTTCTGTATGATTCCACTTTTATAAAGACTTACAGTGTAAATTTTCCACGCTTTAAAATGATGGTTCCTCAAGGATTCTTTAGTAAAGGAAATCGTTCTATGTAGAACCATGAACACTCAAAAAGCCCTTTGCATGATTAAAAGGTTCTTTGCATCATTAAAGTTCTTCACATTGATGAAGAATGTGCTGTAGATGGTTTTTGAAAAGGGTTCTTCTATTGACAAAAGCTTGACATCGTAACAATACCAGAACCTTTTGGTGCTATATAGAACCCTTTATAAAAAGGTTCTATATAGAACCAAATACAATACATTCTCGAACAATCTGAGCAACCCTTTTGTGATGCAGTGAACGCTTTAATCATGCAAAGGGTTCGTTGAGTGTTTGTGACTCTATTTAGAACCATTTTCTTTACTGAAGAACTCTTGAAGAACCTTTTTTTTTAAAGAGTATTTTACTCTTTAAGGTCATTTTATCTGTTGGTATATTCGTAGAAAGATGGTTCTTCAAGAGTTCTTTAGTGAAGATAATGATTCTATATAGAAACACAAACTGTCAAAGGACTGTTTGCATGCTTAAACAGTTCTCTGAGAGGGAAATTGGTTCTTCAGACTGAAGTGTGCTATATATGGTTCTATATAGAACATTTTTGAAAAAACACCAAAAAGCGTTCGGCTATTGTTAAGATGTCAAGCTTGAAACAATGGATGAACCCTTTTTGGTGCTATATAGAACCCTTAACAACATGTTCTCCGTCAATCTGAAGAACGATTTCACCATGCAAAGAACAGTTTCATCATGCAAAAGACTGTGTTCATGGTTCTATATAGAACCAGTGTCTTTACAAAACAAAAACGCTTTAAAGAACCATCTTTTTTAAAAGTGATTTTACTTAAAGAAATAAAAAGTTTGGAAATAAGTGAAATTATATTATTTAATAATATTCTTACAACAAAAAGACTAAAAGGAAAAAAAGCAGGACAGAAATCCTTGGCGGACGCTGAGGTGGCCACCGATATGCCCAACTAATTTTTACAGTCGGGTTTATTGGGGTGCCAAGAGGGGCACATATGGTGAGGCATCTGAACAGGTATCCCAGGCGTCCTTACATCTAAACGTTGAGGCATTTGCTGGTGAAGAAGTGCAAAGGCGCCATTGGACAAGCGTGAAATCTTCCTTATGGGAGACTGAATGGGTGTAGGATGTGCTACAGTCCCTTTAGCCCACATCCTAAACCTCATATAAGTTTCCTCTGGTGACTCATTACCACCTGCGGCTGAAAATGGAAGTTTACAAGCTTCCATCCTGATAGTCCCCAGCATCCTCAAAGCAGTACTACCCAGAGAAGGTCTGGAGAGAAAGCAAAGGTAAATAACATCCATCAAGTCCAAAATTTACTGTCTTTTTTGCAGTTGGTTGCAAATATGATCCCCTTTGCAGCTCCTTGTGGTAGTGTTATGGTCTATGTATGTCCTCAGGACCATCACTTTAACAGTGCCCTCCCTGCATATGAGCCATTTGTCATGGGACGATCTATCACTGTGAGTAATGCTCTGGATGAAGGGAACGGCTACAGTGAATTTACGAAAGGAGAGGTAAGGAAGCTGTGGGTGTGGGGAGACATCTAAACTGCCCAGCTTCAGCAGTGATTGGTTTTTAAGTCAAAGGCTATCAAGGGGCCCTGCTCTGGATTATGCTTTGGCACGGTGCTCTGCTGGGATGTTTCTGCAGTGTAGCAATGAAATTACAAAAACAGTCTGACTTCATATAAAGTGGTAGATTGTGTCAGATTTATTACTCAAGATTTAAGCTCTACCTTCTCTCTCTCCGGTGTACAGAGCCCTGCCAGTGAAGCCCATTCTTAGTTGGATGGCCACAAGTGCAGGAATGAGGTAGTCAAGTCGTGAAAATGTCTTACGAAGGCATAAAAACGAGACTGTTATGTCACATCCGTGACTTATTAAGGTGTGAAAATCAGATAATTATGTCACATCCATGAGATAGTATGGTGTGAGAATGAGATAGGTTACATCTATGACTTAGTAAGGTGCGAACGAGATAGTTATGTCACATTCTTGACGCAGTAAGGCATAAGAATGAGATAGTTATGTTATGTCCATGACTTTTTAAGGTGTAAGAATGATATAATCATGTCACATCCATGACTAAGTAAGTTGTGAGAATGAGACAGTTAAGTTATGGCCATGGCTTAGAAAGGCATAAGAACAAAATAGTTATGTCACATTCATAACTTAGCAAGGCATGAGAATGAGATTAAGTTCAGTTGTGGCCATGACATAGTAAGGCAAGAACAAGATAGTTATGTTATATCCTTGACTTAGTAAGGCATAAGAACGAGATAGTAATGTCATGTCCATGACTACATAAGGCACAAGAATAAGATGATTATGTTACATCCTTGACTTAGTGAGGCATAAGAATAAGATAGTTGTTACGTCCATGACTAAGTAAGGTTTAAGAAGGAAATAGTTATGTCACATGCTTGACTTAGTAAGGCATAAGAACAAGATGGTTATATCACATCCATGACTTAGCAAGGCATGATAATGAGATGGTTATATTACATCCTTGACTTGGTAAGGAATAAGAATGAGATAGTTGTTACATCCATGACTTAGGTAGGCATGAGAATGAGGTAGTTAAGTTGTGGCCATTATTTAGAAAGGCAAGAACGAGATAGTTATGTCATGTCCTTGGCTTAGTAAGGCAGGAGAATGAGATAGTAAGGTCACATCCATGACTTAGTAGGCTTTGAGTTAGTTAAGTTAGATGAGACAAAGATAGTTTTGAACTATTTCCCTAATAGAATACATGTTTAGCAAGCTTTTTTAAGATTTGCATTGCTTTATATTCTTTGGCATGTGAAGCAGATAATATTTTTGATTTGCCATTTATTTAGATCTTTCGCATTCAGTCTTCCCTCTCAGAATTATTTGTTAAAAATAAAAATAAATACATAAATGACAATTAATTAATTGTGTAGCTGTTTACATGCATCTATATTCTGGGTCATTTTCTGCTGTCATACAATCAATAGTGACTTAATTGCCTTCATCACACTTACGACGTCTGGCGGTCTCTTCCAGTGAGAAGACTCGTTTTGGAATTTACTGTGAAGGTGTCGAAAGAGGTCAGACACTTTGAGGTGATGAGAGCACCGTAACACAGCCCACCTGCAGGTTATATCACTGTAAACTTATGACTAGCTTCCACCTGCAGCTTTGAGGAATAACTGAGGAGCTTGAGTCAAACATATGGATGTTAAAGGGACACTTCAGCAAAAATGAAAAATTTAACCATCACCAGCTTTCAGCATCTGTCTAAATTAAGCTTTCTGTTTAAAGGGTAGGAAAATCCCCTTAATGTTGGTGCTAAGCTTACTGTAGTACCTGTCTTCATCATTACAGTGGAGAGAAAGGATTACTCAAACCACAGACATCAGATCAGAAGAACTTTAGCTAAAAGCTAAGTTAGAAAAGTAGCTATCTGGCTATCTAGATATCTTAGCTCATTTTGGCTCTTTTTCTCTGGCTGAAAGGGTAAAAGTGGCTTCATTTTGCGCCAAACAAAGACAGTTTCACTGTTTTCTTTACCACTTTGTTCAACGACTGAGGTAAGAGTTACACTAATGCTAAAGTGACCAGATTTCTGAAATGAAACCTAAGGAAGTTTCCAGTTTGGCGGTCAATATATTATTCAAATATCCAATTTTTTTTAAATCTATGAAATAAAAAGGGAGGGAGGGGGGGGAGTTGTGTGACTCTGACCAGCATGCGTATGAATAAATTACAGTAGTCCTATGAAAGATTTATATTTCTTTCCCCCCTCTGAGATTTGTTACTCGTCGCTTTTTAGAAATAAAGTCTCTCAGTAAAAAAGAGTCTCAAAAGTCAGTAAGTCTAGCGGCTCAGGCAGCGACGAAGCAGAGATACATTTACCACTAAGGATTCAGTGGATGTATGAGCCCATAATTCATATTCATATTAAATATTTTGGCAGTAAAAAGAGACCTGTGGCTACAGATAAAGACCCGTGTCTGTAGCCCAATATCCAGACCCTAAACTCACCCCTGGGCCGCTCCAGTTCTGGACAGACAGAGACGCTATCAACATAAGCCATATGTTAAATATGGAGACTGAAAAAGTGACGCAGTTTAAAAATGATGCTCTGTTTGTTTGTTTCATGGTAGCTTCATTCTAGTAGACTGTCTGTCTGTACGAATCAGAGCCACCGATCAGCTGGTAGAGCGATTCAGCCCCATAACTCCACCCCTGCTAAAACCCCTGGGTCACCTCGAGTCCTGAAAAGACGTTTGTGGATTCAGTGGACGCTTGCGATCTTCTGGTGGAGTTTTACACAGCAGAACTAAAACTAGGCGAGCGAGTGGTAGAAGTGGTCAGTAGGGAGCAGCAGTAGCGCCCTCTCCTGGACAAAACAAGCATAACTCAAGACATCTGCCCGTCGCTCAGCTGCAGGTCTTTCTCAAGATGTTATATTATCTTCTAGCTTAGTGGCAAAGCTAACAGTCAGGATTGGGTGACACCACAGGGATTCCCAATGGTTGTATGAAGTATCTGCATGATATATTCTGGGTTTTGTAGTGAGAGAACATCGATGAATAAACAAAGATATAAAATCATGAATTTGGTCAAACTGATGAGGCTGATTAGGCGGGATGGAAGGCTGCACTACGGAACTAACATATTTTAATATTTTTATATTTTATACGGTATAAAGGTATAAAAGTGCACCACTCCACACATGCACTTTGGTCTAGTTCTAAGTGAAAGAAATGAGCGTACGACACAGACCGCATTACTCATCTGGTATGATTTCCTGTTCTGATAGTATAACGCTGAACCGGACTGCTTCGTCTTTGAGGGCTGATGGATGACTTACTGTCAGCAAGCACTTCATAAGACTTTCTCTGATTACATAATTGGCTTACAACATCATAAGGAAAAGGATCTGTTTGATATTTCATGCCTTCGGTGGGTCTTTTTGGCTTTAAACAATCTGCGGAGGAAAGCGCCACTGTCCGTCCTGCGGGTTTAGTGTTGGATTTATCTTGGCCGTCGGACGCATTTCACTCTGATGACATTGCGCAGACATTTCCAGCTTTCTGTTTTACCACCATCCATCTCTCGGCCTGTCTCCCTCTCGCTCTCCCTTCAGAGGAATAGAGAGAGGAGAGTTATGTCTCCCTCTGTGTCCTCTCTCAGGTTTATCTCGAGAGTATAACGGAGCAGTAGAGTCTCCCCACGCCTCCTCATTTTGGCAGCCCTGAGACCCTCCTGCGTCCCTATATGCCCCTAGGTCCTATCTACTGATGAGTGATTGGTAATAAAAGGCCCTGTCTTGCCCTGGAGCGTGTTAAACATCTCGCTGGCAGCTGAGAGGCGATTCTTCACTGTCTGGTTATCCATGTCGACTCTTGTACCCAGCGCTCTGCAGGCAAACGAGGCCAATGGGGGGAGAGGAGCTTTGGTAAAGCCATCAGGATGTAATATCATTTAGGGGAATGCAAAAAGCACTGAGGGGGAACAAGATACAGACCTTTTTGTTGGTTTTCCATGAAGATAATTATGGTATAATCAATTCAATGAAGTAGCCTTTTTGAAATGAAGTGGGAATAAGAATGGCCAGTCAACACCACCAAGAATTTTTTGTTTATAATATTGTGTTTGAAACATTTGAGGAGGTTTCATACCTACCTGGGTATGGGTGTACACTTAACAACAGAACAGTGGACCTCTGCTGATGGGAGCGATGGTCTACAACAAACAAGCGAACACAAAATCAGTGTTCTTTTCTCTTTTTCAGCTCGCCAGCACTGTACTGTCCACACTATCTGCCTGGTTTAACCCTCTGGGGCTCACAAACTTGTCTGCACATCAAGTTCTCTGTTTCTATATCTGTGTCTGTATCTTTGTGATGATCCAGCTCAGAAATCCAGTTCAAACACTTCCTGAATCTGTAGAGTCGCCCTTTCCATTCCATCTTATCACGAGATCATACGAGACTCACATCCGGAGTTATGAGCCTATGAAGAGGGGCTGAGATACACGTCATCTGCCTCTCACCGTGTGGAGCTGGTGGATTGGTGTGTCCGTCTACATTCTGTGTGAAACTGACCGATGGACACTCAGGAAATCACTAAGGACTGACCAGCACGCCGGAAACCCTTCATTCTTCATTCAGTCCACATCGGAGACTCATGTGAAACGGCGTGCAGAGAGTTTACAGCTGCTGAAGCTGCTGCAGCGGGTTTGGAAAGTAGTGATGAAGATAATGGAGCATTTAGATATGAAACATATGAGGATCATGATATATGAATATATATGATATATGCCTTTAAAGGAGGATTTAAGAAGAGATGAACAAATCAAGAAAATCACCTCAGACCACAGAGGGTTAAACAGCATGAGCTGCTGCTAATAACGGCAAATGCACTTCAAAAACTCGTACCTTGGAGAGGAAAATTGTCTTACATCTAGCCAGTATATCTAATATTTCTCATGTTGAAGTGTTAAGCTATTTACAGGATGATTTAGACTTTTTCTAGTCTTTTTAC